GGTCACCGGAGTGAACAACGAATAAAATCTAAGGAAAAAGAACAATAAAATCGCCGACTGGCTTGGCCCGACGAGTGGCTGATGAATCCCGACGAAAACGAGTCAAAATCCCTGCGGAAATCGTCCGGTATTTGACGAAAAACATATTCTTGCATTTGAATTTGCGTTTGCGATCGGTAGCCTCGTGTTCCGGTCCGGTGGTGTGCTTGCCTTATCCGGTAGTCTAGCGTGTTTCCGTACTCAACGCTCATCAACGCCACAGTGATAGTTCGTCATTCGTCGCCACAATCGATAAGTTCCATTCAAGTTCACACGAAAGGGGTTCCTTGGGTTCGTGTTGTGCTTCGCAAGCTGTCGCTATGTACCCGCAGTGGAAATATAGGACTGGTAGTTGCTCTGATGTTTCTTGAAGGCACGATAATTTGCCAGTGAGCCGTGAATTCAAACTCCTACATCACAGTACATGTACGAGTACAATTGAGATAATGAACTTGAAGCTAATTTCAATTTGCATGCTTATCTAAGCAGATAGCAATGTTTGTCGCTGTGGCACATCTTTGTTGTACTTGGTGCCGGTCAGTTATAAATATATAAATCGTAGGTCGCATTCAACTACCACCACACACTTTTGCCCTTCTTTTGCCATGCTTCACTCCTTCGTAACGGCAAAGCTATTGCCCAATCTACCTTCATGGGTGACATATGGACTACGCACTGCTGAAAGGTTGGTGACAACACCATTTCTTGCTCTGCATGTTCACAATCCATCTGGACCGTTCGTGTATGGATGACTACCAAATCTGTTTGTCATTACCTGCGAGAAACCAAGTTCACCTACTGCGGAGTATTTCGCCCTAAATCATACCAAGTCAGGTGTTCGCTCTCTAACAGTTCATCCCCCTTTGCCATTCAATGGACCTCTCTATCTTCTGATTACACCACACCTGGCTGGCCAGTTCCCAGAGGCTGACAATGACCCATCGAAGCTCTTTTCAGAATCAGAACCTCACCAATTTGAGGAACATAGTCTGTCTCTATTCTCAGAGGCCTTGAATTCCACCAAACCGTCCATACTAGATGAACGTAACACTGGCGGTGATGACGAACCTGGTGAAAATTGGGATACTTGGAGTGCTAGCTAAAACACCCCGGGAGTTGCCTGGTGTACTAATCTTGGATCGCCGAGTTCCTTTTGATTTTCAGCTTCTACCACTTGATGTACTGCCACCAGAATTTGAGACTCATCTCTTCGAGGAGATCCCATTGGTCCGCCAGTAAGCTCATGACACCAAATTTTGCTGCATTTATCTCTTACTCTCGCTTGAGGTTGGTACTGGACTACACTTGGGAATCATGCAATTCTCTCCTACAATATATTGAAACATTGTAAAATGTGAGGTCGATGTTCGTTAAGTCTCCCATTTGATTAATGATAATTGTAGGCACTACCCAAGTTAATCTCAACTGGTCGATTGTTTCGGACCCCTTCGTTACCTACCCTTCGGCCTTGTACTGCATCTCTCCTATCACTCCCAGTGATTCACGATGGGGATCCAAACCCAATAAAGGGACCACAAGATGATATCGCTGATGACTGGAGAGATGATATCGATGCTCCAGATGTTGAATTGGCAGTGGCCGAGATCATACATGCCTTTCCATTAGGGAATATCAAGGTTTTCATCATTGATCCTACTTGTCTAGTTGTAAGTCATGATGCCAGTGAAAGCGCTACAATATCTGAACGCCTTAATTATACAGGATGTCAACAGCCCACTGAAGCATGCTCTTGTAGTGGCCTTTCCTCCATCTGAATATGCTTTTAACCCCAAGGAATTACTCAGCCTCTATGTTGAATATGAAGGCATTCATTCTGCAGACCCAAACTCTCATAGCTCATCGATGAATATCGTGCTTGATGTTGCTCAGTACTTGGGGGCGAAAGTTGAAGGATCCCATATAAAACAAGCTTTTAAAAAGACTTACACTTTCCCTGATCTCTACGAGGATGCCCAGAAGGCTGTCGACCTTCTCTCTCAGTGTGGATATCTATGTTCTCTGCTTTCCAGGTTCAACCTAACCTTGGTGGAGCCAATTCAGTCTATTCGAGGTCTATCAACTCAATTCACTGTGAATAACAAAGAGGCCACATTTTCTTGGGATTCTCTCTTCTCCTTCTTACAGCATTCAGACTCGACTCTCAGTCGAGACCAAGTTTTAATTGGGACGCCTGACCTATACTGCACAGCAGAAGCAGCGAGTAGAGCTGGTTTCCCCACCACTTTCATGAAGAGGGATGACAGTCGGAGTTAGAGTTTGTTGTTACAAACGACTGCCTCATCTATCACCACCACCTCCCTTGATGACTTGGCCCACTTGTTCATGGATCCTGCCTCTATTTCCAGTCCCACTGAGCCTGAAGATGACTCCATGTACCCTCCATTCCGTATTCGTGACACGTGGCAGTGCGAAACCATGATAGGCAGAGGCTCATTTGGTGGGTTCATTCTGCTACCTATTTTCTTCTTCGAATTTTCTAACTCCTTTCCCTCTACCAGCGTGGGTATGGAATGTCTTCGATATACATTCTGGTGCTGGCACTGCGATCAAGTGGGAATTGATTCATTCTATGAATCCTGAAACCATACCTTATGAGAGTGCAGTCTATGCACAGGTCCACGGCTATCATGGCATTGTGCACATGCACTGGTCAGGTCGAGAGATAAATACAAATGTTTTGGTAATGGATAGACTTGGTCCAAACTTGGAGGTTTTACGTCGATTCTGTCGTGGCTCGTTTAGTCTTAAGACAGTCTTGATGCTTGGTGAACAAATGGTATTTTTTTTCCTTCATCCTTTTCCTTCCTTCCTTATCTATGCTGCATAAAGCTTGCTACAATTGACCAAGTTCATAGCAGAGAAATCATTGTTCATGATATCAAACCTGAAAACTTCGCTCTCGGCCAAGTGGAAGATTACAAGCAACTTTTCTTATTCGACTTGGGTTTGAGCAAACTGTTCCTCGATCCAACTACTGGTAAACATATGCCTTTTCATGAAGGAAGGGGTGGGATCGGTACACTCCGATACGCAAGTCATAACATGCATTTCGGATTGGGTGAGACTTCATGGTACCAGCTTTTGAGTACATGTGAGAACTCTGATCATTTTCATAGAACCAAGCCGACGCAATGATGTCAAAGCCGTAGGGGTTCTCCTGCTGTATCTTCTGCATGGAAAACTTCCTTGGCAAGGTATCTACACTCCTGATATCCCTGCCAAACTGCGACGAATTGGTGAAATGAAACGGGGCCAGCCATTCTCAAAACTTCTACAAAATTCACCGACGTTCTTCCAAAAATTCTTTGAGCACTGTTAGTCATTAGAGTTTGAAGGTAGGCCCGACTACAACTACCTATGACAATTGCTGCAGGATGCCATGGCCGAGAATAACTGGGAGTATGATTGGAACTATGATTGGTGGAATCCAACTGAACAAGGCACCCTGATGTCTGAAGAGTACAAGCTGGATATGAGTTTCATCAAACCTGTTAGGCATATGCAGAATGTACTTTGATTACAAGTCAAACTCATTTTAATCATGTTGCTTGACTCTTGACTGTGTTTCAAAGTGGTTTTTATAATGTCTTATTCCTGACAATAGAGAGGTAAAGTTTCCACTCAATGGGAGGATTGTTTGTCTGCTGGATTAAATGAGGTTGTTCAAGGGCATGTTGTGATTGAAGCGGCATGTAATTTACACCTTCATGTAGTTGAGCTACGTGAAGAGTCGTTTTCAATATTATTCTGCTTTAAATCTGACTCAATAATTGAACACTCTCAAATCTCATGAATAAAGTTTAATCCAGCTTTTGAATGGAGTTGACGAGAGTGCACCATAGGTTTTATAGGTGATTTTCCCTCTTACAAGCTAATTTTTTAGAACAATTGAATCAATTGGCATGCAAAAAAATTGTCTGTTATATCCACTCGTAACAATTCTACTTCCTTTCAGGAATCAATGCATTGTAAAGTGGACCGCACCAAGCATATACTCTGTCACGAGGTGGTGATTTCTTTGGTGCTTGTCCAGGGAAGTCTTTGGAAATGTCATGGTCAAGATACCATTATCCAATGATGCCTTGATCTCTTCAGACTGTAAGTTAAACAGATTGTCAGCACAGTACTTATGTCAGACTGGGAAACTGTATGGATTCTTATGTTCACACCTTGCAATTGAGGAAGAGGAATTGACCTGGAAATTTTTCCAAAGCGGCGCTCACAAACAGCATAACCATTCTCATCTAGGTCAGAAGATATCTTAGACTCTCTGGTCAAGAGATCATTCCAGAGATCGATATTGACTTCCTCTTTCTTGAGACTAGGAAGTTCAAAAGCGACCGTGACAAGATCAAGATTTGATTTCTCATCTTCTGAGAACGAAAATATCAAAATTCAATGTAAAAACATCATGAATACATGACAAACTTACTCCAGTCTCAATAGCCTTGGTTCGCCACGTTGTGCGACTTGATTCTTGTTCCTGTTGTTGTTGTTACCAGAAGTCCTCACGGCGAATGCTTCGTCAAAGAGACGATCAAAGTCAGCGCATGAATATCCATAGACAAAGCGGGTGAGAGACGTCTTGAACAAGGGGGCAAATGAAGGAAGTGAGATGTTCGAGTGACAGTAGTTGGATTTGTTAGAGAGCTGTTGTGTTTTCCCTTGACCTTTTAGAAGAGTACGGCAGTTCTTATATACCAGTACATGGCGAATCTATGCATGTTTCATGAAAGTTCAATGAGTCATGATGCAACGGGTGGTTGTCGAAGAATTGTGGTGTTTGAATATTCTCGAAATTGGTGGTTCATGGCTTCAAACACCGTAGGAATTTGGCTGGAAACTGCTGCGAACCAACTTTCAAGTTGCGAAGTACCTCAACATTTGGTCTCTGTTTGGCAAAGGTTTCGTTCATGGATGGTGACGGCGATATTTTCCAAGGCTGGCTAGCTCAGTTGGTTAGAGCGTGGTGCTAATAACACCAAGGTTGTCAGTTGGATCCCAGCATTAGCCATTGATGTATTCCTCTACTTCATTTTTTGGAGCGCAAGAGTTCAGAAAGATCTGTCGCTAGATGAGGAAGGCCACGTACCTTGTTGTATTCTTCTCAATGGCTCATTTAGTCTCAAGACAGTCTTGATGCTCGGCGAACAAATGGTACGTCTCCTTCCTATATCCTCTTCCTTTCTTCAACACTAATGTTGTGTATAGCTTGCTACCATCGAACAGGTTCATAGCAGAGGAATTATTGTTCGTGACATCAAATCCGAGAACTTTACTTTAGGTCAGGTAGAAGATTATAAACAACTTTTCTTATTTGACTTGGGTTTGAGCAAACTGTTCCTCAATCCAACCACTGGTAAACATATGCCTTTCCATGAAGAAAGGGCTGGTATCGGAACACTGCGATATGCAAGCCATAACGTTCATTTCAGACTCAGTGAGTCTACCTGGTCGCACTGGCTTTCAAGTACATGCAAGAACTCTGATCATCTGCATAGAACCAAGTCAACGCGATGATGTTGAAGCCATAGGTCTTCTTCTGTTATATCTCCTGCATGGAAAACTACCATGGCAAGGTATCTGTGCCTCCAACATCCCTGCCAAATTGCGATGAATTGGTGAAATGAAACGGGACCAGCCATTCTCAAAACTTCTACAAAATTCACCCACATTCTTCCAGAAATTCTTCGACCACTGTCGGTCACTGGAATTCGAAAGTAAGCCTGACTATACTTACCTACGAAAATTGCTTAGGAATGCCATGGCCGAGAATAAGTGGGAGTATGATTGGAAATATGATTGGTGGGATTCAACTGAACAAGGCACACTGATGCCCGAAGAGTACAAGCTGTATTTGTGCCTCGTACAGCCTGTTAGACATAAGCAGAATGTGCTTTAATCATGAAATAAATCCAATTATCCCTGTCTCCGGACAAGTTGGATACAATTTTTGTTGATGCTCAGACTATCGATAATCGCTGCTCATTCTTGCATGCTATTATAAAGCTGAAGGCCGCATTAATATTGAATTGATTCGAGTTCATGAGCCTATGTATAATTAACAATTGATAGTTCATAAAGAGGAGGTCCCGGAGCTGGCAGAACTACTGATTAACATAAGGTGAGAAGGAAAAGAAAACTTGTTACTGTGGCCAACGCCGGGATCGAACCGACGACCTTGGCGTACAGAAAGCGACTGAAGCAAATTTCATGCTGGGCCGCAGCCTGAAATTTGGTTCAATCACCATATTAGCACCACGCTCTAACCAGCTGAGCTAGTCGGCCATATCTAGCCGAGGGCATTTTCAAACTATGAGCAAAAGACACAATACTGACATCTGTTTGTACAGGCTGTAATGTAATCTGGGAATTCCAAATCATAGTTGGAAGTAACAAATGATGTAAGACGATAATTAATGAAGGTCATCTAGCTCAGTCAGTAGAGCGTGGTGTGGTCTGGGAACGACCTTAAGGCTGAAAAACCCGACGGTCCCCATTCCCAGGAGAGATATCTCTCCTGACCAATTTACACCAAGGTCGTTGGTTCAAGTCCAATGTTGACCATTTTTTCCTTCTTCCAGCAAGCCTGGGCATTAAAAGTGTTGGGTAGGGCCGTGTGATTACACCACAGGCGATACCAAACCGACCGATTTCGCAACAAGCCCATAAGTGAGTGTGTTGTATTGCATGAAGGAGAGCTGATCGATAATCCTTCCCAGGCAACCGTCGCTGCATGCGACCAGTAGTATTACATCGACACTGTTCAAGTCGGTTCAATATTAATCCCAACGGGTTAACGTTTCGTCGAGATATGTCTGGCGCACCAAAAGGCTTGTTATATAGCCATGTATTCGGAGTCCTAGGCTCATCTTTCAACCACCAGTAACATGAAGATGGTGGTTCCTGCATTCAGACCCTTCCTTCCATCCCACGAAGAAAAACGGGGGCCAATGCAAACGAGGTGAGATACATCCGGAGTCTTCGAAAATCCTACATTCAACATCGCAGTAGTATCTAGTCACATTCATCCTACTTGCATGTCCCAATAAAAGTGCAAGCCCGAACCGAACTAAATCAAAGTGCATGTACATCTTCATTCGTAAGGTGGGATTTACTACAAGACAGATCACGGAATTATAAGCCACGGATTCCATTCTCCGAATCACCACGATGTCTCCTCGATGTCAACAACTCCTACAGTAACATACGGACTAAACCACTCAACAAGCTCTGCTCTACCCCACAACTCTATCATCAACGTATCTATCGGTACACCAGCCTCCTTTCTCTTTTTCAACTGTGTTTGAAGTCGCTCATATTCTCCGTCTGCAGCTTTCAATTCGAAGATGACTCCTCTCAACACCAAAGTTTGGATCTTAAACCCGACATCAATAACTAACATTCTCCCCAATATCCCTGCGATATATTGCTCTGCAAAAGGGGAATTTGAAAAGGATGAAGACGCAGTGTTCAAGGTCAATTGCAAAACTTCTAGATTCCTACTCTTCAGAGAACCCAAAACACCTAACCATGCCCATTTCTTGCGTTCGGAACCATGGAACGCAGCCGAGGTCTCGGGAAACATTTCATTCTTACTAACCATCTCACACATGCGGGATAGGTCAAATCGAAGAATACGGATGGAATCAAATTTCAAGATGTTGCAAAACTCTGTCATGTGATTGAAGACGTTTGGTGAGCGTATGTAGATCTGTAGATTTGGATTGTCTTCAGTGTATCTTCGAGAAAATTTGAATCCTTTGGTAGATGGATTGATGCCAATGGCGATTCTGGACCCTTGGAAATAATCGAAAGACCAAGCTTTCAATCGTATGTAATAATGACCAGTGAGGTCTACATCGTAATCGAATGGCTTGATATTCAAGTATCTGAATTTCTTTGTCTCGTCCAAGTTCGTGTCGTTGTCGAGTTTGAAAATGTTTGATATCGATGTAGCGAGTTGGGATGTTTCAATTCCGCGAAGATAAGAATCGTGCTGATCACGATATTCATTGCGAACAGAAATGTTGAGAAAATGGATGGGAATATCGAAACAATGCAAGAGTGAAATGATCATATTGGACTCCTCCTTAATAGTGAGAGCTTTGAGGCGAGGGAAGGAAACACGATTCCACTGATGAATGTTTATCAGCGAAGGGTCCATCATCGTTTCAACAATGAGATTCTCCACGTTAGGTATCTTCTGCAACATGTCAAGAAAATCATGGGGTCTGGGTGTACCGACAGAATGTCGAGGAATATTTTGAAATCTGTAACACAAGGAACGAGTTGTTGGCGAGAGAAAATAAGCCGTTTCTTCCAGTGAAAGCAGCGAGGTGGAGACATCTCTCAAATTGAGATGCGATGAGGAAGGAAGCTGTAGAAATATTTGGTTCGGCGGTAGTCCTTGCGCATTTGATCAGATATCGAGATTGAGAGACTACGTAGAATTGACAGTCTCTTGAGGGATTTTTTGGAGCGGTATGTTGACAGCAGGGATGGGATAGCGAAAGAGGATGTTTAAACTTTCGATACGGTGATATTCTCTCAATGCCATGAGTAACATCTCGTATTCTGGCATCCTGGAGACACGGGCATTGACCGTTAAAGGTGCAGCACCGGATCTCGTTAGCAACTCTACCATCCATTCAGTTCCAATTCCAATTTCACCGTGTCTAGCGCTTCCAATATGCACGCAATTCCAGAGTCGGCTACATTTCATTGCAATATTTCGCCAATAGCGACAAACTTGAGCGATTCGGAGGTATCCATACGGAAGATATCGGCTAAGTTCATTTCTCTTGCAGACCCCATGATCGTCTGCATAGAGCAAGAACACTCGGCACAATAGTTCGTCGGGAAGACGAGCGATGGTGGAAAATGAATTGAACCGAGAGGAGATCTCTTGTAAAGCTCGCTGGTAACATTGCATCTGCTGTGATACTTCCTCCTTCGTATGAGGTCCTGGTGATAGTTGAAGGCGACAGCAAGGACAAGTGGTGTTCGACATGGTGAACGAATGATAGCAAGGCGAAAAGATAATGGATCTAGATGACTGAAAGCGGATATACGTGTTAATACATTTTAGTGGATGAGATACGAGAGCAAAAAAACATTGTGCACCAGTGATATAAGGCTCCTCACTAAGTCTCATAAGATGCAGCTTGAGATCGACAGTGTTCAGTGCCATAGTAGTAAGGTAGTTGCCGGACGTGCTGAGTGTTGATCTCGAAGATGAGATTAAGTCCACGGAAATTGCTACAAAACCGAATGGCCAACGCCGGGATCGAACCGACGACCTTGGCGTTACGAATATTAGCACCACGCTCTAACCAACTGAGCTAGCCGGCCTTGTCCCATCACCAAAACATATATATATAAACTGTTGTACAATCAGAGGTGAGGACATAAATCAATGACAATTAACGTTCCTCCTCCTGCATGTATGATACACACGTTGAATTTTTGGAAATATTCCGACATCCTTGACAAGAGCAACGTTAACAGATTCATTAGCAACGATACGCCGATCGCGAGATACTACTATACTAGTCTAAACAAAAGCAAAGCAATGAACACCGATGAACGGAGGCCTGAGTAGAATTAAGAAAGTTCCAAAGAGGATTAAATCAAGCGAATTGAGTTCCAATGTTATTATGATCCAAACCCCCTTGAATCAGATGTTCATGCATCGTATGTGTATGCGATGAACTCGAAGCAGCCCAACAAAAATGTCCACAGCCAGCAGCACAAGGGTATCCAACGACCCCTTCACTTCCTCCCACATCTGTACTGCTTCCTCCACCTCCACCCAAGGTACCTCCTCCACTTCCACCATTACTTCCACCTTTATCATCACCGCTACCAACATCTTCATCACCTCCTCCTATAATATCTTCATTGGTATTGATACTTCGTAAAGATGTCGTTCTGCCACGATCTAATGGAACGATTGTAGCGGATGAAATCGCTCCTGAACCTGTATAGATTGGAAGTGGAATTCGAGGTTGGTTTGGGTTCGTGTAGTATGCTTGATAACATTTCGAGTGTCCTCCATGCATGCATATTGGACATTTGAAAAGAAGACCACGAACAGGAAGATGACTAAAAAAAAGTGACGTTGCAAAAGTTAAAATTCGTTTCTGGATTCTGAAAAACAAAGCACGAAATGGAGTGAGTAGATGAGAACGTACCAAATTGAACAAGTCGCTGAACTTTTTTTGCATGAAACACAAAAACCATAACTTCCATTCGGTTTCTTTCCACTTTTATGTCTCAACTTATTGAGCGTGCCAATCTCTTTGCGCTGTTGTTCAGTACCCCCTTGAAGAGGAACAGTAGAAGAAGTTGGAGTAGTGGTCAACGCTCTTGCTGTGGCCGGACGAAGAATTGGTTTGTTACACTTTCCGCAGGATGTGTAGAATGTTGTTTCCAGCTAGACAGACGGTCGAGTGAGAATCAATCCAAAAGGAAGAATGATGACAACTTACTGAAGTTGTATTTCGAACCTCTTCCGCAGGAGAGAATTTTCGCATGTAGGCAGCTGTGGTATGGAGTCGGAGTCGGACGAGGATTTCTGGAAAGAGAGGAAACATGGGAACAGGATAAGTCAGTTCAACGCAGGAGCATTCGAGAAAGATGGGAAGCATATTACCAATATAAGACTCTAAAAATCTAACCAATCTCGATTTGCTAACTTTCAGTTCTTCGCTCGCGATCAGAGCTAACATCGTACACATCTGTACATCGCCCTGAATGAAAGAATGCAGTGAGGTTTTCTTTAGACAAAAGAGTAAGTCAGAGAGATGAACCTCATCAGCGAATACTTCCAATGTTTCTCTCATAGCTTCCCAACCAACATCTCTGACCCGTCCTTCAACCTCTTTCTTTCTCTCCTCTTCGTATCCTGAGCTCACACCTCCGGAACCACTGCCACTGGCACTAGCAAGATGGCGACTGAATGCACCAATCCCAACTCCTATTGAATCCTCACCAAAAGATTTCCTAGACACTTTCGATGAGCTTACTCCATCTAAGGTAAACTCTGTCGAAAGTGCAGATCGTATCCTCTTATGGTGTTGATGGTGAGGGTGTTTGATACTGCTAGGGGTAGTCGGTCTACCCTTCGCCATAACAGTATCTCCTTTCACCGACGTACCACTTGTACCGAAAGTAAAGGAAGAAGACAGATCTTTGATCGTGTCATCCCTTTGCAATCTCCCTCCTCCTCCTCCTCCTTTTGTTGAACTCTTGTCACTATCAGGAATAGGAGAGTTTATAGCAGTAACAGTTCGAATACTGCTTTGAGACTCTTGTTTAGTCAATTTGGGAGGTCGTAATGATGTTGACGTGGAAGTCGAAGTAGAATCAAAATTTGTAGATGTTGGTGATTGAACAAGTGAGGTAGCCCCAATAACAGCCGTAGAAGGAGAAGAAGACGACGCAACGTAACTTGCTACAGTCGAACTTCTACTTCGTGTCGAATGCGTCCGTGAATGAGAATGAGTTCCGGTTCCTGAAGATTTTCTTCTTTTTCGATTGTTACCACCTCCATCACCACCACT